TTGTCATGGCCGAAAATCCTCTCTCGCAGAGGTATGTTGTGCAAAATGGTAGTAAATATTTTTAGTTATAAATAAATGAATTTATGCATTCGGCATCATGTTATAAACTGCCGAATTTTTGACGGTCCACCCATTATTTTTTTTTATTTGCTTCATCTCGTGCATTTAAATTTTAAATCGACCGATTTTAAATTGCCGCGCGTACCCCTTCATGCAATTTCGTGTACCCCTTGGGGGTACGCGTACCACTAATTGGGAACCACTGTTCTAAACAATTAATAAAATGATCTGTAATGAAAATAGTCCTTTTTTGCTGATAAAAATCTCCCAACTCTATTCTAAAATGTAAAAGAAAACATAAAGGTAACATAAAGACCTTTTTTAATTTCAAGACGATTATACTTTTAAATCCAAATCCATAATAGAAAATGACCGAAAGTCCGTTAACCGACAGATAGTTCCCATATCATTTTAATAGAGGTTTTTTTAAACGTTTGTACTTGGCTTCATTTCGCATCCTCAAGTATTTTATAAAAGCACAACACCATTTTATAAAATAAAAGGATAGGCTGGGAAAGATCAATAAATTTTATTTATTTAATTCTGAGTTGGAGGTGGAGTCGTCTTACAAATATTTGGATATTTATTACAATATATAGATGAAAACGTCGCCATGACTGTATGAACAGTAAGCATTATTAATGTAGACAGGAGTAATANTTACAAATATTTGGATATTTATTACAATATAAAGATGAAAACGTCGCCATGACTGTATGAACAGTAAGCATTATTAATGTAGACAGGAGTAATATTTCTTCATAACGTGACTAACAGGGTGCTGATACAAAAATAGTTATGAGATAACCGAATTATTCGTTCACAATTATTAACTAATGTTATACACTCAGCTTAAATTACAATAGAGCGTCGTTTATCCGAAAGTCGGTTATCGGGAAACATTCCAGTAGGCAAATTTAAATTTTCGCTAGTGTCGTGGCGCTGCAATCTTTAGCTATACCAGTATCTTAGGCTACTCCAAATTTTTTTGTTGATGTGTGTGTTTTAGCTGGCAGCACTGGCATTTTTGTGTAGTTTTTTTCTGTAGACTGTGTGTGATGCTGAATCGAACGTTTTTTGATACTAGATCAACTTACAAAGTATATTTTTTTCGGTTTTTATATTATTCAATATTATTATTTTAAAAAGTTTACGTTAGGCTAAACATCTACGAAAATTCAACGCGAAGCGACACGCAACGGAGAAAAATTTCAACACGGGATAGGTTAATTAATATATTTTTTTGTACATAATCGGTTATCCGAAAAATAAGTTATCCGAACAACCCCAGTCCCCAATTGATTCGGATAAACGACGCTCTACTGTATATACATACCAAAAACATTAGGACGACAGAGTTGCAGGTTCAAACATTTCTACAAGATGCAGGGAGCGGTTACAAACGAGGTGTGTTACCTTACGCGTCTGGAGTACAAGTGATGACAACATATGATGCAGCCAAATGTCATCGTTAATTTTATCTATTTCATCCTTTAATAGATGAGGGCCCATGCACAAATATCGATTCGGATCTAGGCAAACTATTCTTTAGATGTTACATTATAATTACAGAAATTGCTTTTAGCCCTAAGTATAATTAAATTAATTAAAAACGTTATGAAGAAATATCACTCCTGTCTACATTGAAAATTTTTACTGTTCACGCAGTCATGGTGACGTTTTCATATTTAAACTGTATAGCTTTAGGCATTGTTTTAAGTTTAATTTTAAATTTATTTGTTTTCTACCTTGTATAATTTTTTAAGTACACTAAAACCTCTCGTTAATACTAACTGTACAGGGACCATTTTTCTATTGGAAAATAGTTTGAAATTCATTTTGGAATTTTCGGTTTCTATACTTATGTAATCACCTTATTGTACACCCCTTTTTATTTTATTAAATGTTTTTACTTTAATTCTTGAGCGTTTGTGCCCATTATCATTGGTGTGATAAGCCCTTACTATAATCTGCCTCACGGTTATAGATATTGTAATTAATTTAATTATACATAGAGCTAAAAGCAATTTCTGTAATTATAATTCTAGAATCTAATTTTAGAAGATTGGTATATAACAAAGTAAAATTAGTAAGCAATAATTCTGCTGTCATAATTAGGCCTTCCCCGATAGAAAACAATTTTATCCTTACTGTAAGTATTCTGTATGTTGCCATTTCAAAATCGGGCTTAACAATATGAGTTTTTCTCATGGAAACGTTGTGTTATTCACTCTAAATACGAGAATTAATAAATTACAAACAGTAAATATCAAAAAAGCAAACTTTATATTCCCGGAATGTGGTGTAAGTTATGATGTTCACAAATAACATAAATCAACAAACAATAGCATTTTTATATGTTTTAATTGCTTGAAATGATGCTAATGTGTTAAAATTTAAAGTAAAAGATATTTTCAACCATACTTAAATCGCCAGATGGCCGAGGCGATAAAGACAACAGCTTGCCGTTCTGGAGACACTAGGGTTCAAGTTCAAATCAGGAAACTGAGGAATTCGTCATGGTCTGAGAAGGATTATTCGAACTACTCTTTCATCATCCAGTCATCTCATTGTGGGCGTTTCAGGTTATTGCACTAAGTCACTTCTAGACAATTTTTAAAGTTAATGTTATATATCGATATATATGTTATCGGTACGGTATCTTTATCTGTAACTCGTATCTACAAAGGTTAAATTGTTACCATTACCTTTCATATTAAAAGTTCTACCATAGCTCTTCTAACAGAACATATTTAATACAATATTTCTACTGAAGTGCAATCATTTAAATAAGAAAGGTATGATCACAGATCAAAATAACTCTTCATAATGAATTTCATAAAACGAAATTGTTTCAAATAGGAAAATCTTTGAAAATCTTTAGGACTTTGTCATGCTACTAACATCCCCATCCCCTGTAATAATTTGTCACAAAATTTTTACATATTCTCCAAGTGCGGGCGTCATATTTGAAGGACCCCAAAATACTACAGCTCAACCTAAGGTGCATTCTTTTATTTCTCCGCGTAATTCCACGCTCGCGACATCCGATTAAAAATTCCTTTGGTACGCGGCGTTAGACGGCAAAAACTGATGTTTGTAGTAGTTTGGAAAGCAACATTAGAGAGGTTGCGGCCGATGTTTTCAACGCGAAAACGTGTACGTCGGACGTTTAGCGCCGCTTTCCTGTAAGCCTAGAAGTTTGACAATGGTGTTTGGATAGTCACTGGAATCATGCTCGACGTCCCAAACACCATTGCCAAACTTCTAGGCCTATAGGAAAGCGGCGCTGAACGTCCGACGTACACGTTTTCGCGTTGAAAACGTCGGCCGCAACCTCTCTATTGCGTCCATTTTTACTTAATCATTGTCAATTGTTTTTAATATTTATATCTAATTACGTTTTGTTGTTGGAATCAAGCAAATTCATTTAAGTGTTAATATGCTTATGATGAAGAGAGCAATTCATCTCTATACAAAATTCGCATTGCGCAGGGATTGGCGAAATCCCTGTACAGTTATGTTGGTTTGAGAATTGTCTTTTACTTAGTTGCTGCCGAATGTCTTCTTGACCATTCTTCATTATTATTACACTTTCTGTCAATTGCCCACTTATTTGAGATATTGTCGTTAATTCCTTGTTTTCCTCGTGTTTGGATTAATTTTGTACGTCGGTATTTCGATTTTGATTTTTTAAAGTACAGTTTAAACTTTCAATTGCTTCTCTTAATTTTCACATTTCTTCATTTTGTAGGGGAGTTTCATTTGCATCGTCTTTTACTTCATTTCAACTTAATTGTTTACTATTTGAATCACAAATACAGTCGACCCCCCTATAACATTGTTGATTATTCCATTTTATATGAATCCCTTGTTGTACGAGTTACTTAGATTTTACAAATACATGTGCCGGGCTGTGAACAGCTCACGTATTTGTAAAATCTAAGTGACTCGTAAAACATGGAATTCATATAAAATGGAATAATCAACAGTATTATAGGGGGGGTCGACTATATGCGAATTTATCAATTCGTTCTCAATTTCCATCTTTTCTTTTTTGTGTTTTTAATAAATATTTTTGAATTAAAATTTCTCTTTGAAAATTAAATAAATCTTCTCTGAATTGTGATTTTTCTAACGCTCTAAATTTACAAACGTTCTAATTCATCTTGAATTCCTTTACGCGATTGATTTTCATATTTGGCTGAAACTGTTTCGTGCAATTTAAATTCTTCTATCTTTTTCGCCTTTTCCTTCAATGAATTCTTCTTCGAAATGATATCTAAGTTTTTTATTTCTTTTACTGCAAATTTTTGTAGATTAATAAACATTTCTTTGTGAATTACAAATGTGAATTAGTTACAATAAATAAGGGCTTATGATATTTGTGAGTTACTGTAAATAAGTTAACAAATGTTTATTTTCTTTTTAATGCGAAACATCAATATATAAAAACCTGTACTTTTGATGGTCTGTTTACTTTGTGACGAGTGCTGCCACGTGCATTGATTTCAATGAAAATTAGAAGGCGTCGATTGCGTAAATGATTCCAGGTACTGCGAAAATATTGTGATACTGCCAAAAATTGGGCTAACTATCCAAAAATTATTTCAAAAAAATTTGAGATATCGATATATTTTACATTACTTAACTAAAACTACTTCAATTATGTTAATCGCGATCAGAAAATTGCTATTAGAATAAAAAACCGTAACTTCATACTCTGCAGTTTACAGAATTTTATAGTCACAGTAAAACTCATACGTAGTTATTTACCCATTTTTAATAAGAAAAATGATTATAACGGCCCATTGAAAAGTACTGAGACATTCGGTGTGGCCCACGTACAGATAGGATTGGAAACTCTGGAGTAAAACAATACTCTGAATCAAAGACAATTAAATGCCCAATTCTAACAAAACAAGTTTAATACAATAAATTTATTCCCACCACACGAAAACCATTAATGTAGTGCAGGGAATGAAATCGTCCTCCTCTACATGAAAAAACTCCTTTTTGCTTGGAATGATTGATAAATACAAGGGTAAAAAGTTATATGTAACATAATTCATTAGATGAAACACTTCTCTAAATGCTCGAGTTGCTGTATCGATGCACTCTATACATGCTTCATGGAAAATATACGCGAAACATCTCTTCTCTACCATTTTGAGTACAGAATGTTTCAGCCTTTCCAATTTCTCTTTGATTGTCGTATAACCAGACTTAAATTCATAAATATAAACAGAAAAAGCATTCACTCTCTCTCCATAAAATATTGTTAGCCTGCCCACATCTCTGTGAATTGAAAAGTTTATAGAAGGTTTAGTTTTGTCTTGGTACGAATATACTGCAAAATCTTTGTAGAAGATAACACATTTTATTTCTTCGTCCGGAATATTCATTTTGTGGCATACATTCTTTATTTCCTTCTTTAAATCTGACTTGTCATAAAATATAGATTCGTTTCCAAAGAATGCAAACGGATAATTAAAAATATCAAAACCCGTAATGTTTGGAAACATTAATATTTGTATTTCGGTTGTTTCTTCTATTGATGAGAACTTATAATGTTCAGGAAAAATGTGTGTGTCTGCATTTTCTGGAATCAAAGACGTAATCGTTATTAACAATTGATAAATAATTTCAAACTTACGTACTACAGCTACTTACTACACAATGCATGCGTAAATTCCATATATTTACGACTTGAAGACGTATCACGTGTATACATAGATTCCACGAATTCGTTACGATTATAAGTAGAGTGAATCTTACGTTTAGGTTCATCTCCGAAAACGAACCAATTGTATTGAAAATGTTCGTCGAACCCGGTGTAGGGACGTAGTTTTTCCGATTCGCAGACTACGGAGTTTATTGCAGTCAGAGGAATTTTCTGTTTAAATAAATCAGAATATTTACAGTAAATGTAAATTTATTTAGATAATGTAATTAATGAAAAATTATTTTACTTCAATTCAATAATTCTAAAAGTATCTTTGTATAAATGTATTCAAGTAAGTGTCTAGAAAGATATGCAGTTCGTTGTAAGTTTTGAACTAATTTTTCTACAAATGAATACACACTAAATATGTTTAATTGATAAGATTTCAAAGTCGAAAATGTAAAGCATTACTTCGCTGTTCAAAAGAAAACTTTCAAACTTAATACTTGAACGAATACGAAATTAAAAAGAATAATCAATTGTCGACGTTTCTTTATACATTTTCAAAATGTGAAGCATTATTACAACTTTAAACAACAAAAAAAGGCTGTCTTAGAAATTATATGAAGGCAAAAAAAAATTATACATTCAGTCATTCTATGACAATTGTACAGTACAAACAATAGAAATCTTAAGCATAAATTACAGGAAGTATTCGGCTGTATCTTACATTCATGGTTCTTAGATACATTACACAAATACAAAATGTTCAAACAGTTATTACACATCTGGAATAAGCAATAAAACACTAGAGAAAGATATTACATCTGATTTCTTATACGTACAGTACGTTAAACAATTCAAGACGAAGTATTTTTCCGAAGTATTTTTCAAACAGATTGTTTTAATTCAATCTGGTTTTGTGCTGTAAAACACATTATATATTTTTTATGTCATTTGCAAAACCACACATCCTCAAATAAAGTCTAAATCTCCTATTATAAGTCACACAGCTTTACTCTATTGACGAAATTGAGGTTTAATGTAGATAAACGAAAAACCATCTCACGTAGAGAAACGAATTTTGAGGAAAGACACAGCACTGAATCCATCGATGACTGAGAAATCTACAAATGTGTAGATTCAGAAAGACAAAACTCACAATTTTACGAACAAATCATACAAACTCTAAGAAAATCAGAAAGTAAAATTCGCCATTTTAGTAATTAGGCCTAATATTTTTTAAACTAAATTTTTTAACTTTGAAATTATTTATGTTAAACGATTTTGAAATTTTGACCGTTTGTAGCAATTATATAATCATAGGATTTAATCAACAAAATAATGTTATAATAATTACCCTTGTGATCATTGTTACTCGGTCATATATTATGTCTTCGATGATATCTCCCCATAGAATACACACTTGGCTGCATGCATCTAATTCTGCGTCGTTCAAGTATTGAAATATATTAATCATTATTTCTGGCAATTTTGTAATTAAAGTGCAGCCACGTGGCGATATTGCACCTATTTCTGTTGTTTCTTCAAGTGTGATTTCTTCCATTTTGGCAACTGTCTGTAAAGAAAAGAAAGTTATTAACTCTTCGTACTATTTCTGTTAATTTTAGTGAATCCCGTAACTGTTGAATATTGTCAATTTTACAGTGGTTGCTTATTCTGTACTGCTACAAAATAAGAATAAATTACAAATAATATATTTTAAAAATTAAACATAAATCGAAAGAAATTTGTCCTTCGACCCTCGTAACGAAGTTTATTAATCGGTTGGTTTTTCGTGGATATTAGGAACCGGTTGGATTTATTACTATGTTGTTAATTAACAGTAATGACGGGTATGAAATAGGATTTGGGAAGTTTCGACATTCTCAAAGTCCCGGGACTTCGAGACTTTTCAGAATATAATTAGAAGCCAGTTCATTTTTGGCGCGATGTATCAATAAAACAGCAATTTTAGTAAAAATCAAAATTTATTGATCATAAAATCAAATCCTGCAATTTATAACGTTAATTAAAGTCTAAACAGTTCGAATGTTTAATTTTTATAATCATAGATTCATTTTTTTGGCAGTAAAATCTTAAAATTATGAAACCAACTTAGTAATCATACTAATCATTAATAATCATCACCTAGTCTCTATTCATTAGTGACTAATGAACTCTATTCATTAGTGACTAAATCAGAAAAGATGTCTAATTGCTAGTTCATTATATTATTTAAGTGACTAATCATTAGTCACATAAATAATATAATGAACTAGCAATTAGACATCTTTTCTGATTTAATAAAATAGGCTTTTAAAAACATCAGAGCATTTACAGCTTTGTCCGACAATCTGTTTCTGATTTTTGTAATAATGCCTCCGGACAAGAAAAACTCTCTCTCGTTTTCAACACATGTCATTGTGTTTAAAGCTTTATAAAGTAGTTCCAAACTTTCAGTACGTTTCAATTCAATCGATTTTATTGTAATTATAAAGTTGTGAATATGACGGTAGCCATCTTATTTCCGTGTTTATTAAATTTCTGTCAAATAGGCAAAAAACGGAAGCAGCCGAAGCTAACGTCAACAAATCGTCGTCGTCGATCGTCGCTATTTCACCACTACCAAGCAATAGTGCTTAGAAAGATAGACAAAATGTAAATTGGATCTTTAGGAAGGGTCATACCACCATATCGTCGAAGAAAAACAATCACCTGACCACAGAATCACTCTGACGCCGTGGTGAAAGCGACGACGTTGTAGGACTATAAATATAGAAGAGCTTCGGTCCATGGGTTCGACTATACCACACGTGATTTAATTAGACGGGTTAGTTTTTCGTACTTGTTACAAATCTCTGCGTGAAATTTTTGGAAAATTAGTGTAAAAATAAAACAATATTGTAAATCCACTGTATAATAGTAGCACTTTGTACAAAATTCTAAATATACATTCAGTAGATAAATGTATTTGTATCAAAGAATACAATAATGCAAATTATGATTTAACAGAATAATTAGAGAAAAAAATGTTTTCTACTGTGAAAAAATTCGTTAAATTCAATCTGCTTTTAGTAAAAAAGTAAAAAGCTAGCAATTGTTCTAACACATTTTCTTGCCACTCGAACAGGCTGTTAATTAATGAGGAGCAGAAAGAAGGTCCGATAATTTTCAATTAAACTACGATATAAAATTTATATAACAATAGCTTTAAAAAACAAATTTTGCATTCTATGCGATCATAAAATCGCTATAACGGACTTATAATACAGGAAAAAGGAGAAATAGCGTAAAATAGGCTTTATTCGAACAGAATATGCGTTTCAAGTATTATAGGCTATTCCTTAAGTAAGTAAATGTTTCTTCAATCATAGCTGTTCAGGTTATAAAACAATAAAGGAGGAATAGCTGTGAGGTAGTCTACCGAAGGATTTTTTTTTTCGAATTGAAGAGACATTTACTTACTTAGTTAACAAATAATACAGCTACCGTTAGAAAATTTAACAAAAAAATATTATATTCCTCATTAGTTCTGTTTACAAAGTATCTGGTAGTACAAAATATAGACTTAAATAACATTTTTAACCCTTTTATATACTTACAATTACAATTATGGTATAGTAATATTTATAATTAAAATAGTATAGTCTTATGATGTAATAATTACCTGATATTTAAAACGAAAATTTGTTTGCTATTTTAAAATATTGCGGAATAACATCTTGTTATCTTATATACAGAAATATATGATTGGGAGTAAAGTTCAGACATCTCCATTGTAGTGTTGTTACAGACAAACAACTTTGAAAATGAGAAGATTTACACAGATCGGTTCTATTACAGTAGTGTTAACAGCTAACTTATGTCGTCAATCTGTGTTTAAATTTATTCTATTATTTTTAATTATTTTATCAACTTTTATCATACAAATTTCTTCTAATTTCGGGCCTATAGACGAGCCCATAAATATGCCATCGGTTTGTCTATAATATTAATTATTATTTGTAAAATATTTATTATCTGAAACGAACTGTATTAACTTAATGATCCATTCTTTGCATTCTGTATTTTTTAGGAATTCAATTATAAAGTATTTTTGAAAAGACGGGTACACATATTTTTTAACATTCTATGGTTATTGTTTAAAGCGATAGAAATGATATTAGCAATAAAGGTATCCGGGTTTTATGCTGTATTGCGAGTAATCGAAACGCTTTAATTTCATTTTTATAAAATTTTTTAAGGCTGTATAGTATGGAGAATTTTATATCAACTAACGGGAGGTAAGCTTCTATTGTTCTGTGTGTTTGAACTCTAAAATTCGGTTGGGGGATTCTGATATTATATTCTAACCAATACAGTATTTCATTTCACATTAGTTGATGTTTTTATGTATATGCAACTTTTTTATCAATAACTTTAAGTTATTTCTTATATTTAATGTTGAGTTATTGTTTAGGAAGTGATATTGATTACTTGAAACTAAATTGGTTTTTATAGCATAATTATTTAAGTCTATATTCTGTACTACTAGAAGCTTATAAATCAACAAGAGTAATTTTGTTAAATTAATCATCAGAAATTTCTCTATTTTTTGTAAAAGGAAATATTTAAGTTTAAAATTGTGTAAGACACCATTTATTATGAGGCTTTACTTTAAAAAATAATTTTTATACTATTAATTACCATAAAAATAATTATTCTTGATGGTAGAATCAGTTTCTAAAACAACTGTAAATACCAATAAGAAGAAAAGTTTATACGAAGTCTTTCCCGACTCACGACCCCACTTTATCTCTTAACCCTCTTGACCTTTATCCAAATATATTTAGTAGTATCAATCCCCTAATAGACGAACCTCTCCGCAAAATTTCAGAAATTTTCGACAAAACACACACGAGTAATTAAGCTTCGAATTGAACAAAATCGTGTCACATACATACTAACACCCCCACATACAAGGAGACAATTGGATATTTTTTCATTTCTCGACGTTTCAAGGCTCCCAATTTAAGCACGTAAAAACTTTCAGCTCATTTTTTTACCAATCGCTATATTTACCCTCTGTTATATGTAACAGAGACGGGAAAGTGATAAGTATACTTAAAGATATTTACATAGTGACCACGTGACGTTCTATTATTTAATCGGTCCAATTTAAATCTTTGTTTTATTAACGTAGATTTAAAAAGACTCG